GGATGCCACGAATGACCCCACTCACATGTACGCGTTCTGTCGCACGTCACTGAGTGTTTTTTCGGTCTGCTTGTTCACGCGGATCAACGACTTGTAGAGCACCGCGTACCTCCTGAAGGCCCTCACCTCCTTGAACCGCTGCTCCTTCTCCTCAGGCTCGCACCCTTCCATGTTGTCCGCTGTGAGTATCAGAATCACTTGCATCATGCCCCTGTTCTCGAACGCCGCGTAGTTTGCCCGTGACTTGAACCAAGAACTTCCACCCGGGATCCTAACAACCGTGGTGCGCGTGTCCTTCTTCTGCTCCTTCTTGCGTCTGCACATGGAGTACCCACAAGCCTGAGGCTTGCTCCATTTAATTACAAATCGAATGCATGCGGCATACGCACTCACCACCCACCTCTCCAGTTCCCCCCTCTCCAGCTTGCTGAGCCGAGAAATGAACTTGTCCACCATGTGTCCAAGGAACCCACCGTCCAACACATGTAGGACGTCCGCCACGCACGCCACAAAAACGTTTCCCCATGTTGTCTCCGAGAAATTCCACCTCTCCTGAACCGTCTGCCATCAACCCAACACCAGAAAAACACAACAAGCACAATAAGTACCTACCCCAGGAGAAGACGACATATTTATGCCTTTGCACAACACTTGCCAAAAGCACAGCTGACCTGCACTGGGTGTGTCGACCACCACCTCCGGATCTTGTCAGCCTCGTCCTTCGTCGATGCGTTCTGCATCGACGACACAACCTTCCGGTGTAGTTCCACAGTCCTGGCGGTCCTCTCTGTCTTGAGGTCGGCCAGACTGGTCTTCTTGATGTAGCACGAGCTGCAAGGCCTGTGGGAACCTTGCTGCATTGTCGCCGTGCACCTGGACGACTTGAGGTAGTCCCCCACCTCTGCAAACAAGCATGGGAAAGTGCCTTCACCACTTGGCCAGATGCATATGTCACGTATATGAACTTCAGCTCTGCACTGCATCAACCAATGCACGCCGCAACATCAATGCATCTCCATCCACGCACACATGACTGAAACGACCAAAATGTCATCACCAACTCACCCTCGGTGCTCTCTCAACAGCGGCTCGAATATAATCGCCATCGCCTCCTGGAACATACGGGTCTTCTCAGTGGACGTCGCTCAGTCAGGTGGGAAAGGCAGCACCCTAGCCAGAATGTGGCCTGGCTCTAACCATCTCAGTGCCTCTGGGATGTTGAACAGACTTATAAGTACTGGCCACGCTTGAAGCCGCCCGTTGGCACTCGCGTGCGTACTGTCACTGTACAAAATCACCCCCAGAATGATCCCCTTCTGCTCCGGCTGGCAGGCCTGTACAAATCATCCAGGAGTTCTCGAATTCATAATCTGCGTGTGGGATGTGTAACTTTTCCAGAAATACGTATCCCACTGTGTATAATGTGACATGCCACTCACGATACCCTACCACCGCATTCACTCACATGAGCCTTTTCCAACCAAATTCCAGTATCGGGGGTGCTAAAATGCCTCTTTCCCTCGCTGTCCTCGTCGTCCCTCCGTGGCTCCGTCACGAAGCCCTCTGTGTGTACGAACATTCGCACCAGCTTCTGCACCAACTATAAAGCGAAGAAACATACAATAACTCCATTAGGCCTTGCCTCACTTAGAACGTGACGCCAACGATTTCCCCCCACTACGAACCCACCACATGTCTCAAGCCCCATAATCACCAGCTCTGTGTTCTTGAAATGAAGCGAGAGGTTTGCCATTTTCCCACCGGGACCGTAACATTTGATAACAGTCTTCTGCCACGGCACTAGATCAGGAGGAGCCATCAACTTCCTGAACCTCCTCACGTCGACGAAGTTCATCCACCACCGTACATCTCGCACCAAGAATCGAGGGTTCACGAATATGTTGAGCAATCTGTTAACCTCCCTTCTTGAAAGGTCAGCGTCACGGAAAAAAATGTACAGCTCTGTGAGAGTGTCGAAGCCGTCGTCAATACTACTTATATCACTCTCCGCATCTTCGTTATGCGCTATCGCATCAGCGAGAGGATCCTCATTTACCACATGCTGGCATGCACTACCGCTTGCCTCTCCAACAGCGTCGGTTTGACGCGACCGGGCAGGTGAAGGTGGGCGTTTGCCCCGCATGGCTCATACCGCCTCTCGGTACGCCTCCACGAGGCGCTCCGCCCTAGCGTGGTTAATCTTACGTCTGCATTGTTTGTTGCCCGCCAAGTGAGACTGCAGCGTATTATCGTCCACGTGCTCGGCCCTGCACGCCTTGCATGTGTTGCCCAACATAGCTACAACGGGTAAGAGGAAACCCTAACTCCACGCGTAGTACACCTGCCAGAGACACTCCAATGTAGTGTAATGTTCCGGGTGTGTCCACTCCCTGTGGTGGGACACCCATTGTACGGTTCATCGGATGAGTACGCTTGTCTGCTTGGTGCTGTGCAGCTCGTGTCTAACCTACACGTACGCCCAACCCCCCGGTTCAACATGGTTGGGCTTGAGACGCCATCAGGTTGGTATTCGGTATGCCAATCGGTGAACCACGGTTTGCATGGTAACTTCCTTCATATGGTGCATAACGTGGTCCCGCTAAGAGTCTCAGAAACCCACCTAATTCAACAACATATGATTCAAATAAAGTCAACATATACATGGCCCACATTTCGAAACATCACACATACAGATTTCATTCCAGGGTATTTCATAAATAAACACCACACACTATTAACTAGCCTCTGCACCCACCCCAGTTCCAGTAACAACAGACCATTAATGGTTGCCTCGTTGGATACATCTTAGATAGGTGAGTTTTCTGCGTTAATCTGTTGCTACAACGCAGGCCAATGCTCACTGTCCAAATCGCAGAAGCTGTATCTGCCCTGCAGTAAAGTAAGGGTTCCGTATGGCGCTCAATTGCCGGTTGACGTCCCTGTTTGAGAGGCCCCCTGTGTGCCAACGACTAATGAGCCAAGTCTGCTCACGGACACTGCTATGTAATGAACCATCATCGGCCAACGCAACCGCATCATCATCTGCACGCGCATCTTCCGCCAAAAAAACGACCGGCCCACGACACGCCTGTCTTTATGCAGTTAGGCTGGCGTAGTGCACGCTGTTGGTTTGGTGCGCGTATAGCGGTATTTCATTCAGTAGTGCAGCGCCACATCGAGTGCAAACGATGGTCGACATGCGTACGTATTACGTAGACAGGTGCAGGGGGTTAGGCCAGTCTTAGCACGAATCATAAGGAGAGTGGCTCTACTATGGTCACAAGAACCGAACGCACGCGCACATGGAGTGGTAAACCCTACAGAAACACTCCTCAAGCCGTAACCAAGCTACGTAGCCGCGTGTGTCCGCCGAGTGACGTTTCATATTACGCACACAACCGCACAAATGTCAGCAGAACAGTAGTCGAAACCGTTGGTTACTTCATGTTAGAACAGACCCTCTACCACCGACGGGTGAGATGGATCAAAGGTTCCGTGCATCTGCCACTCACTGTACCACATTGTACATGGACCGTGTGCCTCCAATATGGTCGCGATTTTCATCCGCGCCAATTGCATTCTCGCAACTTTGTAAGGTGTAAATTTACAAACGTGTATGGCGTATACCAAATGTTTGCCACACTGTTGGCTTGCCCAATCCCATAGTCGTGCCGACTATCTGTACGGAAGCGATGTCGCCATGTGGACACAACCGGTCCTCATCCACTCAATTACCGTCCATGACAAATCGGTGTCCACCAAAGTTACAGTGACGTGTCACACGTTGCTCCATTGGACTGGACGAGGATAGTGTCAAGCTGGTGGACACTCCGGTATCCACCTTCTTGCACGCCTCCCTCACCTCTCCCACAGACCGGAGCGTACTATAACCCTGCGTCCTCCCTTTCTGTCTAGCATAAGCGATGCCGCCATGGCCGCATTGGTGCAGCTTTTGGAGTCATTTCAGGCCCACCCCGATGACGTGTTCTCCTTTGTGGAGAATCCGTTGCTCGCGACAACGCTGCCTTACAGCATTAATTTTGACCCCGAATCGGGTTACAAGCCGAAGGTCGAGCTGCGCGTGTGTATTCTGTTCAATGCATCGGGGAGTATGGTCTTACTTCCGACAGTAGTTAGGCGACGCAACTGCGCTCGCCCGTATCGTCACAACCTGCGTGAGGGCGACCCCGTGCATATTCGTCAGACAAAGAGCGGAGAGTTGTCCGCCGAGGTATGTCTAATCGTTTTGGCGGATCTTGTGGTGAGTGCATGTCCTTGCGTCGGTAGCACCTTGTCTCACAATTTCCGTACGCTTTGCATGTCGCAGTTCTTCAGCAAGTACATCGACACCTTCAATGGCGACCGTCTTGCACACAACAAGAGGGCACTTGTTCTCGTCTCAGGCAGGATGCACTGCTCTCTGGATGCGTCGTGTAAGGAGGAAGTGATCTTTGGGTTCCGCGTGCAGAAGCTTTCCAACACATCAATTGTGCACCTGGGTGGTGTCGTGGATCCAGTCAACTTTCCATGGTTCAACGGACTGGTCGGGATGTTCAAGACAATCTTCCACAGCATTTACTTGTCCTTCGTAACCGGGGACGCCGAGTGGCGTGCGTCGGGGTTAATGCCTCTTATTTTGTAGGACAACCTCTTGGTCTGGGTGGGAAGGTAGTGTTGAAGTGAGGAATGATGTGACTAGCAAGAATGGGAGTACAAATATGAAACCCTAGAATTGTGTACCCCCTAAGGCTAAACCCACTGTAGCCTACAAAGCTATAACATATATAATGTTTGACACACCCCCATAGGCAAAGTGGGGGACAACAAGGGGTCACAAGACCAGTCAAGCAAAGCAAAGCAAGCTCAGGGTGGATCTCAATGTCACCACACAGTCTGAGCACAAGTTCAAGGCCACAAGGCCAGTTCACATGCAAGATTACATATATATATTGCTAAACAAGCAAGAGCAGGTATATATATATGTAACAGTACAAGCAAGGTCAAGAGGCGAGCAAGTGAGGCAAGGTAGGCACAAGACCTAACTGAGTACAGAAGCGCTGATGATCACAAGGCGCGAGTGCCTTAGTGAAGATATCAGCAGTGTTGGCCTGAGAGGCCACGTAAGCAAGACGAAGCTGACCGCGCTGCTGCAGCTCACGAGCAAGGAAGTAGCGAAGAGCGATGTGCTTCGTTCTGTGCTCCAGTCTGTGCTCCCGACACAAGGCCAGCATGGCCTTGTTGTCTACGTACAGCACTGGAGGAGAACGAGGCGGCTCTCCCAGGTCAGTCAGCAGGTAGGTGAGCCAGCGTAGCTCCTGTGCAGCCATGGCCCCTGCGTAGATCTCAGCCTCGCAACTGGAGCCGAGAACAGAAGACGAGCGGGTAGACCGCCACGAAACAGAGCCGGAACCAAGGCTGAAAGTGTAACCCTGTGACGACCGCTGCGTAGCCTGGTCGTCAGCCCAAGAAGCGTCTGCGTGCCCAGTGAGGACTACTGGACTATGCCCTCCAAGCACAAGCCCCATGCCCGACGTACTGCACAAGTAGCGCAACACCCTCTTCGCTGCAGCCATGTGCTCTGGTCTGTGTCTCCCAGGAGCAACATAGCGTGCCAGAATGCTAAGAGGGTATGCAAGGTCAGGTCGAGTGCAGGTCATCAGGTACATGAGGCAGCCAACAAGCTCTGGGTACGGGCCACTCGACTCTACGGACTCATCCGAAGGCAGAGCTGAGAGCGAGTGGCGTGTAGACAGAGGAGTGGCCTGAGGCGAGGAGTACGTGAAGCCGAAGCGCTGAAGGACCTGCTGCACCATGTGTGACTGAGTCAGGGTAATGGTGCGCTGTGCTCTGTCCCGGGTGATCTGCAAGCCAAGGTAGCTGCGCAGTTCACCCAGGTCTGTGCACGTGTGTCTCTTCTGCAGCTCGGACTTCACGTAGGCGAGTCCAGCAGTGTCAGCTGTAGCAAAGACCAAGTCGTCGACGTACACGAGGATGTAGAACGGCGGCAAAGAAGTGTCAGTGCGCAGAAACAGCGACGGGTCGGCTGTAGAAGGAGCAAACCCAAGAGCCGCAAGTGTAGTCCTCAGTGTGTCGTGCCACTCACGAGGTGCCTGGCGGAGACCGTAGACTGGTCGCCGGAGGCTCCACTGGGTGCCAGGAGGAAAAGTCCCAGTGAAGCCAGGTGGGCGGCGCAGCCAGATCTCCTCGTGCAGGCTGCCCTGCAAGAAAGCTGTGCTGAAGTCCAGAGAGTGCAGCTCGTAGTCTCGGTGAGCGGCTACGTGCAACAGTACCCGAAGAGTGGTCATCTTCGGGGTGGGAGAGAAGGTCTGAAAGTAGTCAACTCCCTGCCGCTGACTGAAGCCACGAGCCACGTAACGCGCCTTGAAGACAGGCGGAGAACCCGGCGGCCGCTTCACCCTGAAAATCCACATGCCACTGACGATGTTCGCCCCAGGCGGGGGAACCTCGTCAACGTAGGTGCCTGTGGACTTCTAGGAAGCCATCTCTGCGTCCATGGCTGCCTGCCACTGAGAGGAGTAGGGACCCTCTATCGCCTCCGCGTAAGAGCGCGGAGTCGGGATGTCAAGTGCATCCGGGTCTCCCTCAGGGGCAAGCAGCACGGACACGAGATGAGGTGAAGCAGCAACCAAGCACTGGAACTCCGGCTGCCTGTCCTCAAGGACGTCCGTGCCAAGAGCACACACACCCCCGACGGACGGAGGACAGACAGACTCAGACTCAGCGACGAGACTGGCAGCGTAGTCAAGGCGACAGCGAGCAGCGAAGTCGACAAGCTCAGCAACTAGGGCAGACGCAGCAGTAGACTCAAAGGAAGGGTCAGTGACGACAGTAGCAAGGAGACGCGTGACAGTAGGACGCGCAGCACGAAGGGAGTCCGACTCCGGGTCAGGAAGCGCAGGAAGAGAGGACTCGGGAGGAGAAGGCAAAGGGGCACGCAGTGGAGCAGTGGAAGGACGCAGAGTCATCCGGTGCGTGCCGGGGACAGGGGGAGGACGCTGACGCGAACCACGACCACTAGTGCGAGCAGCACGGACAGGCGACGCAGGGCGAGACGCAGGCTCACGACGCTCAGCAAGACCTCCAGTAGGACCAGTGTAGGGAGAAGGAGAAGGAAGCGGGGAGGCTGGCTGTAACTGTGACTCAGACTGGACAGGAGGCGGACACTCGAAGCGAGGAGCAGGACCAAGAGAGGACGGAAGACCAAGAACCTGCTCAAGGAGCGGAACGAAGTACGGCCGGGGCCGCGCAGCGCCACCAGCGCCAGCAGGAACAGCACCAGCACCACCAACGGCAGCACCAGCACCAGGAGTACCCCCAGCTCCAGCAGCGCCAACTCCAGCACCCCCAGAAGCACCAGCGCCAGCAGCACCTCCAGTGCCAGCACCCCCAGTAGCTCCAGCTCCAGTCAGACCACCAGAAGACGCAGCAGCTCCAGCTCCAGGAGCACCAGCAGCACCAGCGTCAGCAGCACCAGTAGGCCCAGCAGCTCCAGTACACCCTGTACGAGCACCTCCGGGACCCGCTGCACCAGCACCCTCAGCAGCAGCAGAACCTCCAGCGTCCGCAGCAGCGCCAGCTCCAGCAGCACGCCTCCAGCGCCGGGCAAACCACTCACGCAGCTCCTGTCGAGAGAGTAGCTCACGCCGTGCCGAAGCACCCGAAGAACCTCCAGGCTCAGCACCCTCAGGCGCCGGACTCCGAGACACAGCGCCCTCAGTCTCAGCACCCCCAGGCGCAGCACCCCCAGGCTCAGCACTCCCAAGCTCAGCACCCCCAGGCGTAGCACCTCCAGGCTCAGAACCCCCAGGCGCAGCACCCCCAAGCTCAGCACCCCCAGTCGCAGCACCCCCAGACCCAGCACCCCCAGGCTCAGCACCCCCAGCAGCACCAGAGTCAGCAGCAACCTCGACAGGCTCGACCGCATCTACCTGGGACACACCTGAGGGAGCAGGACCTTGAGGGGGGAGGGGGTCTACCGGAGGGGGACCTGGCGTAAGGAAGAGCGGCGGGGGAGGGAGGGACGCAGTGCGGTAGGGGAAGAGACGGTAGTAGGGAACCGACTCGTCAAAGGTGACGTCCTGAGAGGGCAGGACACGGCGCGAGGTGGGGTGGTAGAACTGCCAGCCTGGCGCGTCAGGAGGGAAGCCAAGGAAGACGCAGGGAACAGCACGCTGGGACAGCTTGTCCGCAGACAAGTCGCGGACAAACGCCCGAGATCCCCAGACACGGAACGCAGACGCATCGCCAGCCTTCCCCGTCCACAGTAAAGCAGGGGAGGTCTCCGGCATGGAGACCCGGGGGTGAAGGTTGATCTGATGCGCCGCGTACCGAACCGCAAACGGCCACAGAAAATGGGGGGCAGCCGCATGGATCATGGACGTACGAGCGACGTCCATGATCATGCCAATGCGGCGCTCAGCAATCCCATTTTGCTGTGGAGAGGCCGGAAGCGTGAAGGTCTGGCGGATGCCCCGTGCAAGACAGAAGGCCCGCAGAAGGCCAGAGGAGAACTCTCCGCCTCTGTCGGAGTGCAGACGCAGAACAGGAAAGTCCGAGCCGAAACTCTCCCGGAGCTGGAGACGAGCTGTGCGGATCCAGGCGATCAACACCTCAGTGACGTCACCCTTGGTGCGCAAGGGGAAGACTGTGGTGTAACGCGAGTAGTCGTCAACCACCAACAGGAAGTAACGCTCGTGACCCTGCCCACGGACGCGGGCTGGGCCCCACACGTCCAGGTGAAGCGTCTGCAGCGGAGCCTCTGTCGGAGGAAACTCGGAGGAGTGAGGAGCAGCGCGCTGCCGCCCCTCGACGCAGGGAACGCAGGTGGGGGCAGGCCCCGGAGGAAGGGGAGGGAGGGACCGGGGGAGGCCAGAGACAAGAAGACGGGAAGCCATGCCTCGAAGACGAGGCAGGGAGGGGTGACCAAGACGGTGGTGCCAGAGGAGAGTCCGGTGGGACAGGGAACGACACGAGCAGGGGGCAGACTCAGGGCCAGACCTGGACGCTGCAGCAAACACCTGACCCGACGCTGCTACCTGAGCAGACTCAGCGACTGGAGGAGACTCAGTAGTCAGTGTGTACAGGCTCGACCCCGGCTGACGGGTAAACGTGGCCAAGTGACGGCCCGACCGAGCACAGGTACAGTGGGTCACTCGCTGACTCGCAGGAGTGAACTGGTGAACCCCTGCATCCTGGAGGTCAGCACCACTCACCAAGTTCGTAGAGAACGAGGGGAGGTAAAGACCTGACAGGGTGCCAGAAGGGGCCGCCGGACACGGTAGGACAGTGGAGAAGCGGGCAAGGACAGGGCCCCCAGAGGGGTCTGCCAGGGAGACTGCCACTGCCGACTAAGCGGCGTGAGCGTGGTGCAGTCTCGGAAGAAGGAGCGGGAAGCACCCGAGTCAAGGGTGAAGGTGTGGGTGTCCGGAGACGACGCAGTACCTGAGAGCGCAGACTCACCGGCACCTGGGGCGGCAGACGCACTGGCACCTAGAGCAGCAGCCTCACCAGCACCTAGAGCAGCAGCCTCAATGCCTGGGTCAGGCGAAAAAACACTGGTAACAGGCACCCTCATCACTAATAGTCACAGCATACATGGCAGCAAGAATAGCATCATAATCAAGATCAAAGATCGCAACACCCGCCCTAGACAGCTCGCCCCAGCGAGGGATCTCAGTGGCGTCGGGGAACTGGTGACGCCAAGCGTCCGTCAGACGGCCGAAACAGCGCTGGGTGGAGTGCGCCCCCCCACACTGCTCACCCGTGCGGTCGCCAGTACGGAGAACGTAGGTACAGGGGCCAGCACCCCCGCCCCGCTGACGAGCAGCGTACCACTCACGCAGCTGCTGGGGGGAAGGGGGGGTCACGAGAGCGCTGCTGCTGCTGCTGGTGACGCGGACCACCACCGGAGCCGACCCTCTGCGTAGCGTCGCCCCGAGCCGCGCCACCTCCGCCGCCGCTGCCTCCACCACCACCACCTCCGCCACCGCTGCTGCCACCACCGCCTCCTCCTCCGCCGCCACTGCCCCCACTAGTGCCCCCACTACCACCACCACTCCCACCACCACTCCCACTCCCTCCGCCGCCTCCACTGCTGCCACCCCCACCTCCGCCAGCTCCCCCAAAGCCCTTGCCCCCCTTGCCCTTGCCCGAGCGGCGTCTCCCGCTAGAGGCAGACGCCGCACCGACCGACTCAGGAACAACGAGGTCGGCCGCAGCAGCAGAGGCAACAGAGGGCAAGAGGGGGGAGGGGGAGCACCCCTCAAAGACAGGGGTACGAGGGTCACCACGAGAGGCTCCTACAGCAAAGATGCGCTGCTCTGCTGCTAGGAGACGCTCCTCGAGGAGGTCAACGGTGAGAGTGGTGGGGCAAACAGAGAGAAAGTGGTCCCTGACCGAGCGAAGGGTGTCAGGGAGACGAGTGACTATGTAGTAGAGGGTGATGTACATGGGGGGGGGGTTCTTGGCGCAGAACTCAGCAGGAAGCGCAGCGCGGTAGCGAGTGTCACTAGTGCGAAGGTGCGTAATGAGGTCAGCGACAGTGGGAAAAGCGGCGAGGTCAGGGAAGAGGTACGGCAGCATGAGGCGGCTAAGCGCAGCAGTGGCAGGGGAAGAGTAGCGGGCAACTACAGCGTCGTACAAGGTCTTAGCACTCTTGTACTGGCTAAAGTGCGCACGCTCAGCGGTCGGCAAGTGGCGGCGCACAGCAAGGCGAGCAGCAGCATCGCGCGTGGCCCACTGGGAGCGAACAGTGGCATCAGCATCAGCAGCAGGGGGAGGAGAGGCACCAGAAGTGAGGTCAAAGAGGGAGAGACCGTCTGCCCTATCGCACTGTAAGAATAGCTGCAGATCATCGAGCCAAACCTCAAAGTCAATCGCTCGACCCTCAGCGTCAAAGGTGAGAACACTGGGGGTGGCCATGACAGGAGTAGACTAGCAGTGCAGTGGCAGGGGCACTGCGCTTACCGGGCAGGCGAGAAGGACCGAGGCCCGCCAGCAGGAACAGGGCCGAGACTGCAGTGACGGCGGCAACTCGGCTGTGGCGGCTGAGGTAACGGCAGCTCGGGGGCTCGGCGGCTCGGCGGCTCGGCGGCAACGGCGGCTCGGCGGCTCGGCGGCAACGGCGGCTCGGCGGCTCGGCGGCTCGGCGGCTCGGCGGCTCGGCGGCTCGGCAGCTCGGCGCGGCGGGGCCGGTGAAGGGCGGCGGCGTGGCCGCAGCGGGGCCGCAGAGGGTGAGGCGACGGGGCCGCTAAGGGTGGGGCGACGGGGCCGCGAGGGTGGGGCGACGGAGCCGCGAAGGGCGGCGCCGGGGTCGCGTAAGGGCGGCGACGGGGCCGCGAGGGTGTGGCGACGGGGCCGCGAAGGGCGGCGCCGGGGTCGCGTAAGGGCGGCGACGGGGCCGCGAGGGTGGGGCGACGGGGCCGTTGAGGGCGGCGACGGGGCCGCGAGGGTGGGGGGACGGGGCCGCTGAGGGCGGCGACGGGGCCGTAAGGGGCCGCGAAGGGCGGCGCGAGGGGCCAGGAGGGGCCGTAAGGGCGGCGCGAGGGGCCGGAAGGGCAGCGCGAGGGGCCGTAAGGGCGGCGCGAGGGGCCGTAAGGGCGGCGCGAGGGGCCGTAAGGGCGGCGCGAGGGGCCGTAAGGGCGGCGCGAGGGGCCGTAAGGGCGGCGCGAGGGGCCGTAAGGGCGGCGCGAGGGGCCGTAAGGGCGGTGCGAGGGGCCGTAAGGGCGGCGGTAGGGGCCGTAAGGGCGGCGCGAGGGGCCGTTAGAGGGGTCGCTAAGGGAAGAGAGGGCACGCGGGGCGCGACTCGGGCAGGAGCGAAGCGCGCTCCGGGCAGAAAAAAAATCGTGGTGGGCCCTAGGAAGCGTTCCCACTAGGGAACCTGCTCTGAAACCATGTTGAAGTGAGGAATGATGTGACTAGCAAGAATGGGAGTACAAATATGAAACCCTAGAATTGTGTACCCCCTAAGGCTAAACCCACTGTAGCCTACAAAGCTATAACATATATAATGTTTGACAGGTAGTGGCGTCATACTCCGGCTTGGGCGGTGCATCTCACATGGGCCCAGTCTGGCGTTATGCCCCTGGCGTGGCGCGAGCTCTACCACCAAACCGAATACCCTCCTACGGCCGTCACTCGCGAGCCCCTCATCAAGCAGTTGGTACAGCTGCAGGTCCTTATCGACTGATTCGCCAAAGGTGCGCCGGGCTTCATGGCCGCTACGGACGATGCCGCTTGTGACGGGCGCCTGCTGTCGTCCGTTGGACGTCCGTCGCCCGTTGAGGCGTCTATCGCACTGGTTCCCATGCCAGAGGGCACTATTTCCCGAGACCCTAGAAGCCGACGGCACGTGGTGCGCGCTGTAACACAGACGTACGTCCGCACGACGACGGATATAGGCATAATTCCACGCGACGTCCCTGATCGAGTGGGGGTCGAAAACGACGAGGTGGTTAAGCGTCTTCGTCGGACTCCCCCTACATGCCTACGTCGCGCCACCACCCGACACAGGAGTTCCATATGCAGTGACAGCTCTAGCGGCGACACCGCCGGCCTCCTGTGTTTTAGCTCACCTCTAGTTTCCTCCGTCAGCGGTAGCAGCTATTAGTGTGTGGGAAGGGTTCAATTCCAGGACGGTTACCGCCGGTGACCGGGTGGATTGTACGCTGACCGCTTGGTAGTGTGTTAATGTAAGTCAAGTAATGATTTGCATGTTTTTATTGAAAGACGCTATAAAACATGCATTAGCCGTGTGCATTGATCCAACCACTACGGCTTGCATGTCCGATCATAACTGATGTCACAACGTACAGCTCGGCCATCACGAAAGTGTTGATTGGCCTATCTTGTTTTGCAGCGGCTTCGTTGTGATTTTTGCATGTCTGCGCTGTAAAAGTGTTTGCTGCTATTATGAAAAATTACATTGTAATGGATCATACTCTTGGTCATTGGAAAGCACGAAACCTAACCGTCAACCTCGGATCGAGAACCCTCCATTTTGGCGCACCTTCACGAACAGTGGACACGTGGAAACGTGATATGATATTGCAGCGTGTCCCAATTCCGTCTGCTTAGCTTTTCCTCTCCTTGCACTCCCACCTTTTGCTCCGCACAGGCCTAATGTGTCCGTATAACGGACGGAGCAGCTAGACAAGAAGCTTATGTTACTGCCTGTGCAGACTCGTACAGTTCTGACCATATCCTATCTGTCCCATCGCTTTCGTCCACCAAGATGAGAGTTGGTGGAAGGCGTGTTAAACGCGAGGAAAAGGAAGAGTCGCCGCCCCGCGGTCCTCATGTGACGGGCCTTCTGGCACGGATGCTAACTTGCCCACCGGGAACTGACACAAAGGAGCATGATGACGACATGCGGAAAGGCGGAGAAAGAAAGCGCGAGACAAGGTCATCGGCATCGAGGTGGAACGTGGGAGGCAATGGAGCGCCAGCCAGACGACCTGATCAAGAGGATGCGAGATCCGGCCGTGCGTTCTGATTTCAAAACTCTCACCCTCTTCGGCCCTCACGGGGTTGGATGTCAGATCACAGCTAAAGATGCTCTTTCAACCGCAGACGGGAAATATCTCGCCGACACCATAGTGGATTTCCACAACATGTAAGAGATTACATGCCATATTAGGGTTGTCGCATTAGCATAGGGCACAGTTTTTTAACTCGGTACTTGTGTGTTGTGGTCGTGCGCGCAGACTTCTCAACATCCGACATCCTAAATTGAAAGACGGAAAGAAGTGGTTCTTGCTCGTCACTAAATCTTTCGTATACGCAATGCAACTGGACAGGATGTGGCCGTTGGGCGTGTCACCATGTATTTTCGATATGGATTACATAGCCATACCTATCATTGCAAGGTGGGTGTATTGTGTGGATGCAAGTTCAGCCTTGAACTATGACCTGCGATCACAAGTTGGTGCTGACTGTGTTCAACAGCCATCTGCTGCATGGGCAGGAGTCACTTCTCACTGGTCATAGCTCTTAACCTTGCGTCCATATCGTCTGGGAAACGAGGAGAGGGGGCAACGGAAGGTGTCAAGCTTGTGCACTACGACAGCAACGGGATGCACGCCAAAGACCCTTCTGTCATAGAGGGTGTGAGGAAGTAAGTAGTGTGTGCTTTTGCGCATCATGCTGTATGCAGATGCCTGCTGAAAAGACGCCTCACAATTGCGTGTGATTTACACAGGACACTGCTGATGATCCACGAGACGCAGCTGCCAACCGACAACCTAGTCAAGGCTGCAGCAAAAGTGCGAGAAGCAGAGCACGTAGTCCCGGTGAGGAATATTGAAGTCGTATGACTGTTTGTACTGTTGTGGTTAGGAGTGTTGTGACGGTATGTGTACTAACGCACCTTACGCACTATGTCAACCTAGCAGAAAGAAGTGATTCCACAGCAGACGAACGACAAGGACTGTGGAGTTTTTGTATGCATATACCTGAAAGTGCTCGTGAGGACGGATTTCACCACGGTTTGAACGTGGGTGTCCTGCGACGGTGTCACGGCAAAGGACTACAGACGCAGCCTGCGCGCTGATGTATACAGTCTCGCGGCTGGAGAGCTGATTGTGCAACTATTCATGGAGGAGATTGAGGTGCCCATTCAGCCATTAGCAGTACTCCGGGACCAGGGCATGCTGATGTTCCCAAAGGAAGATGAAGTGCGCCTGGACCTGGCAGAACCAACATGGAGCTAGACGGGTTCGTGTTGGCCTTAGCGGTAATGAGCATCGCAAAGGCACTTGGGTACAACATACATGAGCTCCGGGCCGCATGTGCTCATGAGCTGAGCACATGTGGGACGCCTCTACTCATACGGTCACCCACAGCGGAGAACCATGCGGAGCATCATGCGGCGCAGGAGACCCTAGCCGACATGCTGCACGAGACGCCAGAGCCGCTACCTCCTGCACCCGCGATATGGGCCCGCCAACACCAAGAGGAGATTGGCGCACACCTCAAGGCGTGCAAAGAAAGCACGGAGACGCCCAGTCCGAACACCCCTGATGCCACACCAGAGAAGGTTCGAGTCGAAGTGATGCGGAAGCCACGATCTGCAAGGGCGAAGGCAAAGGCATATGCTGGCACCGGGGAGAAGAAGAGGGGTGGCACGAGCGAGTACACGGGAGTATGGTTCGACACGCGTGTCCGGAAGTGGTGCACGAAGTTAACGACAGATCCGAGTACAGGCCGTCAGATTCGTCTGGGTGCGTACCAGAGGGAGGACGCGGCGTACGCATACGCCGCAGGAGCATTCGTGATACGGAGGAAGGACACTTTTCCCAAGGTCATGGAACTGACCGTGGGTGAGATGGCAGCGCTGGAGGGTGGATTGAGGATGATGTGCATCATCTCGTGCATAAACAGCAGTGGTATCGGTGGAGGGAATGGCGGAAGGCAATGGATGACATAGGGGTTAAGCCAGGAACCCCTTTCGAGCTGGAGAAGAGTGGCAAGTCGAACCCAAATACTTCCCGCCACAGCTAGTGTTGATGCACCAGGGGAAGCGGGTGATGCGGATGGGGAGAGCGTAGAAGTCGCCCCTGGGGAAGGGTCGGACGGTGAAGCAGTAGACATGCGCACGCCCTGAGGGTTGTTGCATGCAAGGGAATGTTGCATGTCTAGAGGTGATGGCTTTGGGGCGATAAATGTGGCATAAATTGCATAGACTGTTATAGTTAAACAACTGTGTGGGGATTACTTTTATGGTGAATCCATGAAGTACACCTATTGGTGTCCATCCCACTTTGTTCCACGATGTTGTTTATACGTGATGTAAGTGTGTGGGTTTGTGAGGTCGTGGGTTGGACACGAATGTGTCAACACTCTAGCGATAAGTAGATGTGGTTTGGTGGCGTGGGCCGATTGGTTGGCAGATTTCCGTCCGGAAACTTATCTGCCACGTCATTGTACGCAAACGCCTGGACACAGACACTGGGCTCATGCAGTTTGTGCACAAAGCCTAGAAAAGGGGTACTGCTGGACAACAACCGTCTAGTAGCCACTCCCACTATGGAGTGGCAATGACAGCATTCGAGCGTCCAGAGAGGGGAAACGTCAGCGAGTGTCCAAGCCACCCAAACACCTCACGCATTATGTGGTGCCAGGGACTTCCAAGCGTCCGCCTGTGCCAAAGGCACCTGGAGCGAGGGATAAGAAGGTGGTTGTCCCTGCTTCGACAAGCGTCACTTCTGATTGGTGTAAGTTGTGGTTTCATATTGTTCCTCCTTATGGATTTTCATGTTGTATTTGTAGGCATAGGAATACACGATTCCCGACGTCCGGCCGTCGTATCTTAACATACCGTCCAACGTTTCTATGCAGCGTCCTCCCCGGAGCCCAATCCGCCCGACGCACGTGAGGGTGAGAGCTTCTCGTCGCGTGGTACGGCGACCAATAGGCGCAAGGCAGGCCCTTCCGCGTCTGTAGGGGATGGGCGTTCGGCGAGGCCCGTAAAGAGGCGCAAAGTGTCAGACGTGCCAGACACGGAGGAACAGGCCGACGCGCCGCCAACGGAACCTGAGCCCGAGTCGTCGGATGATGACCCCAACGAAGCTCTTCCCCGTGTCAATACTGCTGCCGACGACGACGCGGAGGAGACTAATGGGGAACGCTCCGACTCGGCTCCTGTTATGAGGGAGGAGTTTGACGTTATGCGCAAAAGCCAGAAGGACACGGTTGCGACGCTTGCGAGGCTCGAGACGGCGCTACTGGCGTCTCTTGCCAACCACACAGCAAAGAAACGCAAGAGGGACAATGCGGGTGGAGGGTGCGAGACAGCGACGAATGCAAGGAAGGGCCGTCGCGTTTCAACGCCAGAGGAGTCCAAGCTGGACGAGGACGAGGTGGAGGAAGAGCACTGGCGGCACATTCGATCGTCTAGTTCGCCCGTGCTCCAGCGCGCGCTGAAGTTTCTGCCGTCGAGCAAAGGATGGAAGGCAAGTTTCAGCACAAGTGTCTCGTCATGTGCAGGAGATCTGTGAGCAGTTGCGCGTGCACCTCTTCATCGCGGCGGACAGCAAGTCCATGACGTTCTACCCGAGCAGCGCAGCAAAGACTGCAACTTTGTGCGCCGTCATCAATAGCCTGCCCCTCCCATTCGCGAGCTTGGCTCTGGCTGCCGACAAGGCAAGGTGCTCTGACCTTAATCGCACCCTGAGCAACTGGAAGACGGCGGCTGCTGGACGCGTGCACGACACCACGCAGCCAAAGCTCGGGCTTTTCTGCGACAAACGGGACGCGCGAAGCCCGTGGGCGGCACCGAGGGCACGTTCGGCGGTGAGGGTGCGGGAGCGACTTGCTCTGACGTTGGACGGGGAGGGTAAGACATGTACATGCGTTTTTTTTATGTACCGCATGTCGGTGGGATGCGGCCTGACGGTCACATGTGTGAACGCAGACGTTTTCGCTATCTCAAAGTTGAGCGAAGACCGCTGAGGCATGCCTGCAGCATTCGCGGCCTGTGCCCGTGCGGCGTTCAAGCCGCGGATGCTCAACGGCACTGTGACGCTGAAGCTGTACCACATGGCATGGCTCGAGCACGTGGTAAGGAATGACCCTAGACGCAGTTGTATCTAAGAATGTCCGACGTAGAATGTGGACGGAACAGTCATGAACCCTGGTCGTTACTTATCATGTGCAGGTGGCCGATGGCATCCGCTACTGGGAGACTCGCAAGGGCAGGCTGTCCAACTCTGCAGGTGTCAATGCGCAGATCGTGGATGGCCTCCGCGAGTGTGCCCTGACGGACGTCATCGCGGCTGTCGATGAGTTCCAGCCAGCGTACGACGCAACCACTTCCTCATGGGCTTGGGGCCACCATGGCCTGCGCCTTTCTTCGTGCGGCATCGAACGCCAGGTGACAGCCGCGCCTGCAGCCAGCGAGAGCGGGAGGGAGGGGGACAATCTCTCTCTGAACTAAAGTGACGGGAACCTTAACCCCGGCTTGGGAGGGGGGATGAAGTTCAAGGTGGTGTGCTACGAGTGCAGGGACGCCGTGTGTTACAGCCTAGGATGTGGCATTCTGTAGTGTTGGTTGTTGTGTGGTACATGGTGTGTGATGTTGAGTGGACGATGGTAGGGGCTAAACCGTGAAGAGGTGAGATTAAAACAGTGTGTATTGCCTTTTTCCAACGAAGTGGACTGCTTGCCTCACACACATGTTGAAACACCAGCCAGTGCGGAGGGCACTGTATGGTGAAATACAGGGTGTAGGTGCTTTGTAGTCGAATCGCGATATTCATGTGGAACAGGATGGACGGTTGGATGTTGATATGACACAGGCGGCGGCACGTCGAGTCGCGGGAAGGACGGTGGTTGTGATAGGTCGGGGGGAGATCAACGGGCAAGATGTGATGTAACCATGTTATTTAGATACAAGTCTGAGGCAGGAAGGCATCGTTGCCAAGTTGGCGAAATGTAGATTCCGGGCTATGCTGGACGTGGATTTGCCAAATACGGAGGGACGAAGGTCGCGCGTAATGGACGGACAAAGGTGCGCCATAGATGATCGCGCCAGAGATGCGATGTGCGTGTTCCATTTGGAGAAAGGATGGCCGTTGGATCGCAGCTAGTAGGATATTTGGCCAAGATGAGAACTTCACATCTTAGCCGTGAATGGTTGGTGGTAACATTGTCCTGGTTCACAAATGTGTGTGCCATGGACGGTTTAGATGATGGCCAGGAAGCATGTCGTTGGTGTCTCGTGCGCGACGACATCCGTGGGATATAGGGGGAATGTACGGTTAGTGTCAAACTGAGGAATTGATGATGCATTCATGTTGGTTGGGGTACAAGTAGCTAACCCTAACTTTTGTACTCCCTAAGACAAACCTCACTATAGGCTACCACATTTGACACACCCCCATAGCCTAGGTGAGGGGTGTCTAGCAGAATCAAAAGAGTACGGTCACAAGACCAGTCCAAGAAACAAAGCTCAGGGTGGATCACAACGTCACCACACTCTCTGAGCACAAGCAAGTGGCCACAAGGCCAGTCCAAGATATAACAAAGATATATAGAAAGCGTACAAGCAAAGTAAACAGTGCACTCAAGTCTAAGCAAGACGAGAACCAGTGTCAACAAGGCCTAACTGCACACAGCACCTCTGGTGGTCACAAGGCGCAAGCGCCTTGGTGAAGATGTCTGCAGTGTTGGCCTCGGACTCCACAAACTCGAAGCGAGCCTGTCCACGTCTCTGCAACTCTCGCAGAAGAAAGTACCTGACGTGAATGTGCTTCACTCTGCTCTCCAGTCGCGGCTCTCGACAAAGGAGAATCGACGCCTTGTTGTCAGTGAACAAGGTCGGTGCAGAGCTCGGCCGCTCACCAAGGTCGGCGAGCAAGAAGGTCAACCAACGCAGCTCCTGTGCCGCCATGGCACCAGCGTAGATCTCAGCCTCAGCTGTAGAGGTCGAGACCGAAGAGGAGCGCGTGGACCGCCAGGAAACAGCTCCAGAACCCAGGCTGAAACAGTACCCCTGAGTAGACCTGTGAGTCTCAGTGTCGTCAGCGTAAGAAGAGTCACAGTGACCAGTAAGTACGACAGACTGCTGTCCTCCAAGAACTAGCCCCACGCCTGATGTCGTCGCTAGGTACTTCGCCACCCTCACAGCTGCTGTCCAGTGAACAGGGCGGTGTCTCCCTGGCGCAACAAAGCGCGCCAGGACACTGAGAGGGAAGGCGAGGTCTGGGCGAGTACAAGTCATCAGGTACATGAGGCAACCCACAAGCTCTGCGTAGGGACCACTAGGCTCAAACGACTCGTCAGGAAAGGGTCCAGTGAGTCTGTGGTCAACAACAAGAGGTGTGCGCTGTACTGTGGAGTGCTGAAGCCCGAAGCGCTGAAGGACCTGTTGCACCATGTGTGACTGTGAAAGTGTAATGGTGCGAGCAGCTCTGTCCCTGGTGATCTGCAGGCCAAGGTAGTGGCGCAGCTCACCAAGGTCAGTGCAGGTGTGTCTCTTCTGCAGTTCGGACTTCACGTGTGCCAAAGCAACCCTGTCAGCAGTGGCAAAAACGAGGTCGTCAACGTAGACCAGAACAAAGAAAGGTGTGGAGCCACGACGAACGAACAGCGACGGGTCAGCAGAAGAAGGCTGGAACCCAAGGTCAGAGAGGGTAGAACGCAGAGTGTCGTGCCACTCACGAGGGGCCTGGCGAAGACCGTAGACAGGTCGCCTCAGCCTCCACTGGGTCCCAGGAGGGAAGGTGCCAGTGAAGGCAGAGGGACGACGCAGCCAGACCTCCTCGTGTAGGCTGCCCTGAAGGAAAGCAGTGGAGAAGTTGAGAGAGTGTAACTCGTAGTCTCTCTGTGCTGCTACGTGCAGTAACACCCGAAGAGTAGTCATCTTCGGGGTGGGCACGAAGGTCTGAAAGAAGTCAACTCCCTCGCGCTGACTGAAACCTCTAGCCACGTAGCGCGCCTTGAAGACCGGGGGAGATCCCGGTGGCCGCTTCACCCTGTAGATCCACATGCCGTCGACTACGTTCGCCCCAGGGGGGGGAACCTCATCGACGTAGGTGCCTGTGGATCTGTAGGAGGCCATCTCTGCGTCCATGGCAGCTCTCCACTGAGAGGCCCAAGGCCCTGACACTACCTCAGCGTAAGTGCGAGGAGTCGGAATGTCAAGGGCGTCGGGGTCACCCTCAGGGGCGAGGAGCATGGCACAGAGATGAGGGGAAGCGGCTGCCAGGAACTCTAGCTCAAACTGCCTGTCCTCTAGGGCGTCACAGCCAAGGGCAGACACACCCCCGACGGCCAGAGGACTGGAAGGAGGAGCAGCCACAAGACCGGTGGCGAAGTCAAGGCGGCGGGTAGAGGCAAACTTAGTGACTGCGGCAGTAAGAGCGGACACAGAGGACAGAGAGGCACGAGGGTGAGTAACAAGAGAGGCGAGAACACGAGAGAGAACAGGACGGTACGTGCGGTAGTAGTCAGTGACAGGAGTAGGAAGCGACGCAGTGAGGGCAGACTCAGGAGGAGACGGAAGCACAGACGGAGACGGTCGAGGTGGACGAGAACAAAGTAAGGCAGTACGAAGGTCAGTGAAGGGAACAGGAGACGAGGGACGAGCACGAGGGGAGCGACGAGAGGCCCAAGTCTGAGAAGGAGGAGGGGACAACGAAGACTGAGAACGAGGGAAAACAGCGGGAGAGGGGTCAGGAGGAGGAAGCGGAGGACCAGAGACGGGAGGAGAGGGGGAGGAGGAAGGAGAGGGAGAGGGGAGACCAAGGGTCCGAAGACCCGAGACAGGAGGAGGAGACGGCTGCTGCTGCTGCTGCTGGTGCTGCTGCTGCTGCTGCGGCTGCTGCGGCTGCTGCTGCTCCAGCGGCTGCTGCTCCTGCTGCTGCTCCTGCTGCTGTCGCTCCTGCTCCTCGAGCCGCTGCAACTCTCGCTCCTCTCTCTCCAACTCCAGCTGCTCCTCACGAGCACGGCGAACACGAGCCTGGAACCTGGTCGGGTAGGGGTGGGGGGAAGGAGTAGTGTCCGGGGCAGCGGCAGCCCCAGAGTCCACCTCCGAAGCACCAGGCACACCACCCCCAGAGGCAGCACCAACACCAGCTCCAGACCCAGGCTCACCAGAAACCGAAGGGGGGTCACCCTCACCCCCAGACGCAGCACCCCCAGACTCCGCACGACCAGCACCAGCTCCCGGAAGACAAGAGTCCTCTGCAACCCGCGGCTCAGCTCCAACTCCAGCACCCCCAGAACCAGAAACCGGTACAGGGACAGTCTCAGTACCAACCTCTCTAGAGCGAGCACCTGCAGGACGCGGCGAGGAAGACTGTGGGGAGGGAGGCTGTACCGGAGGGGCTACCGAAGGGGGAGGGGTAGCCTGGGACACACCGGACGGGGCTGGACCAGGGGGGGGAGGCTGTACCGGGGGAGCAGGCGGGGGAGCGGCGGTCAGGAAGAGAGGGGGGGGAGGGACCGGGAGACCTCGACTGGGGTACCTGACGTAGTAGGGGGTGGACTCCTCGAAACGGACGTCACGGGAGTCAAAGAACCGGTGAGAGGGAGGGTGGTAAAAGGTGAAGTCAGAGGAGTCCTCAGGGAAACCAAGGAAGACACAAGGAACGGCGCGAGGCGAGAGCTTGTCCGCGGAGGTGTCGCGGACAAGAGCCAAGCACCCCCAGACACGAAACCTCGACGCAACACCAGGGGACCCGGTCCAAAGACTGGTCGGTGAAGCCTCTGGCCGAGAGACGCGTGGCCAGAGGTTCAGCTGGTGCGCGGCGTACCTGACCGCGTAGGGCCACAGAAAATGGGGGGCACGGGCGTGAGTCAGGGAGGTGCGGGCGATCTCCATGACCAAGCCTATGCGGCGCTCAGCAACCCCATTCTGCTGTGGGGACTCTGGAAGCGTCCAGGACTGACGAATGCCCTGCTCGCGACAGAATCCAGCGAGAATGCCGGAGCGAAACTCACCCCCGCGGTCGGAGTGGAGACAGCTGACACGACGACCACGAGTGTCCTGCGTGGTAAGCAACCACCTGATCAGCGTAGAAGTCACCTCAGACTTCTTCGCCAGGGGGAACACTGTGGTGTAGCGGGAGTAGTCGTCAACGACCACCAAAAAGAAACGCTCACGCTCAGGGCCAGGGCGAGGAGAGGGGCCCCAGACGTCCAAGTGAAGCGTCTCAAAAGGCTCGGTGGCCGGACGAAGGGAGGAGGAGTGAGGGGTGGCGCGCAGCCTACCCTCGACGCAAGGACCGCATGGTGGTGCAAGGGACGGCGGCAGCGACGGCAAGACACGCGGGAGACCTAAGACAAGACGCTGACGAGACATCGCGCGCAGACGAGGAGGAGAAGGGTGCCCCATCCGGTGGTGCCACAGAACGGTGGGGTGGGCAAGCGACCGGCAGGAGCACGACGCAGCGACTGGACCAGACGTAGGAACCTGACAAGACACAGCTACCTGGGGGGACGCGGGGACTCGAACGGGGGGCGAAACAGGGACCGGTGGCAGTAGGGGCGGCTGCCGCTGCGGCTGCTGCTGCGGCTGCTGCTGCTGCTGGGGCTGCTGCTGCTGCTGCTGCTGCTGCTGCTGCTGCTGCTGCTGCTGCTGCTGCTGCTGCTGCTGCTGCTGCTGCTGCTGCTGCTGCTGCTGCTGCGGCTGCTGCTGCGCACTCGGGCCAGTGTGAAGAGTGTAGAGACCTGAGCCCGGCTCAGCAGCAAAGGTGGCCAGAGGCTGGTAAGAGTCCCCGTCAACACACACCGCAGTCTCTCCAGAAGGCTCAAACCACACACCCACGTGCTGACTCACGAGGGGTCGCACGCCCACCAAGTTCCGGGAGAACGAGGGGACGTGAAACCCAGTGAGAGACCCAGAAGGAGCAGCAGGACACGGCAAAGTGGTAGTGTGACGCGCGGTGACTGGTCCCGAAGTGGGATCAGCCAGCGCCACAGAAACAGGCGCAGGAAGTGGTGTAAGTGTCGTGCTGTCACGAAAGAAGCAGTGTGAGGCTCCAGAGTCCAACGTGAACGACAGCGAACCATCCTACGAGGTAGCCGCTGGACTAGAGTCTACACAAGAACCTACACTAGCAACAGGCAACGGAGCAAGGCTAGCACCTAAGCTAACAACACCAGAGTAAACAGAGTCAGAAACACTAGAGTCAACAACAGCATACATAGCATGGGGAGTACCAATCAGATCAACTAACTGCTCAGCAGACATGCCCCACAGAGCGGAGCCGTAACGCTGAACAAGAGGAAGCCAGTCAGGGGCAGGAGCACCAACCCCGTAGACCAAACGAACCGTGTCAGTGAGCTGAGCAAAACACTGACCAGGGGGGTGAAAGCGGCCACAAGGGTGGCCCCGGCGAGCACCTGTCAGAACCTGATAGGTGCAGGGAGGGTAAGCAGCACCGCTCTGGGTCTGACGCAGCCCCGACCCCGGAGCCAGCTGCGGCCGCTGCTGCTGCTGAGGCTGCTGGGAGGAGAGGGGCTGCCGCTGCTGCTGAAGCTGCTGCTGACGAGAGGGGCGCGGGCCTGGGCGACGGGCTAGGGCGCGGGCCTGGGCGACGGGCTAGGGCGCGGGCCAGGGCGACGGGCTAGGGCGCGGGCCTGGGCGACGGGCTAGGGCGCGGGCCTGGGCGACGGGCAGCGGGGGGGAGGCGCGGTTCGACGGGCAGCGGGGGGAAGCGCGGGTCGACGGGCAGCGGGGGGAAGCGCGGGTCGACGGGCAGCCGGGGGAAGCGTGGTGCTACGGGCAGCGGGGGGGGGGGGGAGCGTGGTTCGATGGGCAGCGGGGGGGGGGGGGGGGGGGGGGGGGGGGGGGGGGGGGGGGGGGGGGGGGGGGGGGGGGGAAGCGCGGGTCGACGGGCAGCGGGGGGAAGCGCGGGTCGACGGGCAGCGGGGGGAAGCGGGCGCGACGCTAGCGATCGGGCTACGCTGGATCGGGCTACGCTAGATCGGGAGGAAGAACGAGCGGTAACGAACGAACGGGACTAGATCGGGCCGGCACTAGGCTCGGGAAAGACGGGCGAAACGAGTGAGACAGGCTCGGAAGAAACGAACGAGGATGGGAGGAGCGGGATCCCACAGGATCCGAACCTAGGTGATATCATGTCAAACTGAGGAATTGATGATGCATTCATGTTGGTTGGGGTACAAGTAGCTAACCCTAACTTTTGTACTCCCTAAGACAAACCTCACTATAGGCTACCACATTTGACAGTTAAATGTGTTTCGCTAGTGGTTGGCGAACACGCATCTAATGCGTGGGTCAAATCTTGACTGTACAGGTGTGGTCATATCGACGGCAGAGAAGGCACCATGGCGGGAGCTGTGGGCGATACGTGGAAGAACCTTAGTCGTTGATCTGAATGACATTGTGTTGAATCTGGGTCGTATATGAATCGTGGTCTTCCAGACAAGTAGCGAGATCCGATTGACGAACGCGTCTGTACATTCGGCGTACGTTCTCTTGGTCGGGCATTCTTGTTGTAACGCATAGGTATAACTGTACAACACGTGTCTACTGACGTGGCGGTGGTGCTTATCCGTAGAGTTTCGGAGACCAATAAGGTACATAAGACGCGGTCACGTCAAAGTGAAGCATGAGTAATGTAGTCGTGACTTGAAGTGTCACGGAAACGTGGGGTTTTTGTGACTTTTGGGAGACATTTTGGTGTCAGTGGCGTGACTGACAACGTGACCCGGCATCCTGGTACTTCCAGCCATGACTTTCCCGTGATTGGAGTCTATCACGGAAAAGTCACAAAGTTGTCCATCTTCGGTGACTTCTGACCCTTGTAAAAACGGCGATGACGGCAGCGACGACGGCTACGACTTCTGCCTCTCCTACGATTCCAGCAGCGTCGGCAAGGTGCGGGGGAGTCGAAGGCAAGGTGAGGGGAACGGCGAGGGGAAGGCGTAGGCAAGGTGAGGGGAACGGCGAGGGGAAGGCGTAGGCAAGGTGAGGGGAACGGCGAGGGGAAGGCATAGGCAAGGTGAGGGGGAGGCGGAAATGTGAGGGGGGGGCGGAAATGTGAGGGGGAGGCGAGGGCAAGGTGAGGGGGAGGCGGGGGCAAGGTGAGGGGGAGGCGGGGGCAAGGTGAGGGGGAGGCGGGGGCAAGGTGAGGGAGAGGCAGGGGCGAGGCGAGGGGGAGGCGGGGGCAAGGTGAGGGGGAGGCGGGGGCAAGGTGAGGGCCCTTTGCTCTTCCCAAGGGCTACCAGTGCCGCCTGGTGAACGGGTTCTGCGACCTGAACTACGACTTGAAATGCGACCTGAATTACGACCTGAACTACGACCTGAACTGCGACTTGAACTGCGACCTGAACTATGACCTGAATTACGACCTGAACTACGACCTGAACTACGACCTGAACTACGACCTGAACTACGACCTGAACTACGACCTGAACTACGACCTGAACTACGACCTGAACTACGACCTGAACTACGACCTGAACTACGACCTGAACTACGACCTGAACTACGACCTGAACTACGACCTGAACTACGACCTGAACTACGACCTGAACTACGACCTCAGCTTCTTCCCCTTCCACACCTCCAATTCATCCCCCTCCCTCACGCTCCTTGTCTCGCCATCTCATTCTGCGACCTCAACTATGACTGCACGGACGGCAGCGACGAGGAGCCCGAGCGGTGCTACCACATCTACAGGAGCAAGGACCTGTGCAAGCACAATGGGCTGGTGAGTCTTCCTTTCAGGTAGGCGTTGCCCACTGTTACAGTTGTCTAATCGTAGCGACGAGGAGCCCGAGCGGTGCTACCACATCTACAGGAGCAAGGACCTGTGCAAGCCCAAGGGGCTGGTGAGTTCTTGTGTCGTTGCCGCAAGGGCCTGTGCCAGGTGATCCCTGGAGCTGGAGAGTAGGTCTACTCCTGAATGGACCATTGCCTTGTGCGTTGGTTCCAATCGTCTCCTCCTTCCTCCCTCCTGCCCCGCAACCTCCCTGCAGGCGGCGATGCCCCAACAACCTCAGGAACTCCTCCATCACCCCTTCCGTGGTGTGTGACAGCATGTTGCCGTGCCGTGTGATTCCACTGCAAGCCAAACTCGCCTCCTCCCATCACCTCCCCTCCCCACCTCCCTCCCGCAACCTCCCTGCAGGTGCAATGCCCCAACGACCCCGGGTACTGCATTGGCCCGACGGGTGGGACGAGCATCCCCCAGAGCTCCGACGGGTGGAACGAGCGCAAATGCTTCAACCACCACCTCCTCTCCCTTCTTCTCCTCTACCCCCAATACCTTTCAGGTGCAATGCCCCAACGACCCCGGACACTGCATCGCCCCCATGGACGTGTGCGACAGCATCCCTCAGTGATTCGATGGGTGGGACGAGCGCAACTGCTTCAACCACACGTGCCAACCCGGCCGGAACCACTGCCCTTTCACCAGCTACTGCGCCCAGGGCCGCCTCTGTGACGGCAAGCCGGATTGCTGGGGGGAGCAGGGTGTGGAGGACGAGAATCAAGAGTTCTGTAGAGGGTATGTGTGTCCGGAGGGGTGGAGGAAGTGTGCTGATGGCCTTCAGTGTGTGGAAGCTAGTCGGTGGTGTGATGGTGCGGTGAACTGCTTGGATGGGAGCGATGAGGGGGCGGTTTGTGTTGTGCCTCCTCCTCCGGCTCCACCTGCTGCTGGGAACTCTTCAGGTGGTGCTTCAGGTGGTGGTTCAGGTGCTTCCAACACCAGCAGCGCGCCGGTGTTCTGAGCAAGGAGGAGATTGCGAAGCTGAAGAAGCTGGCTCAGGAAAAAAAGGCGGCAGCCGTGGCTGCCAAGAAGCAGAAGATGGAAGCCAAGCGGGCGGCAGTAGAGGAGAAGTCGAAGCAGCGGGTGGCGAAAAACGCTGCGATTGAGGCGAAGATCCAAGTGAAGGAGGAGAAAGAGGCGGCGAAGAAAGAGAAGGATGCTGCTTTTGCTGCAAAGAAGGCTGCAGTTGAAGCCAAGAAGAAGCAGCAGGCTGAGAAGGAAGCTGCGATCGCTGAGAAGAAGCGCAAGCAGGAGGAGAAGGCTGCTGCAATTGAGGCTAAGAATAAGAAGGAAGCCGAGAAGAAGGTGGCTATTGAGGCCAAGAAGAAGCAGGAGGCAGAGAATGAGGCAGCGATCGCTGAGAAGAAGAGGAAGCAGGAGGAAAAGGCTGCTGCTATTGAGGCTAAGAAGAAGAAGCAGGCTGAGAAGGCGGCAGTGATTGCAGCCAAGAACAAGACAAATACTAAGTAACCATTCCATATACAAGTGTGTGTTTTGTGTTGTAGTTTAGTGGGCTGGTGTTGTTTATTATTCTTTCATTGTTGCTTACAGCTTTTTTAGTATTCTTGTCTGCCTACGTGAATAAATACCATTGTAGTTGTGAAACATAAGAAGTTCCTCCAGCAATTGCATGGCTAGAAATGCTAGCAATACAGCCTCTCTACATGTGCATATGGCGTATGAAACCTAGCAAGTTTGATAACATGTGTAAGAGTAGTATTTGACGCAAATAAGGAATTATTTCACAACAAGTAAGTGAAATGCTGGTGTTGGATGAAATCAGCCCAAACAAGTCTTTATCGTATGGTAGTGATCATACAACTGCACTTTCCATTATCCGCTCATAGACAGAACGGCAGTGTATGCCAGTATCGCAGATGAACAGCTGGAGGTGAAACGCCATGATGAAACAGCAGCGACGCGGAATCCCCCTGACCAAATTGAACAGTTCCGCGCAGAAACGCCCTCCCTCGTCTCCTGAAGTGAGCATGAACAGTCCCGTAACCAGAGCTGAGTGAGGGACGCCTCTGTACCGTAGTTTAGACTCCTGTACCTTTCAGAACCGTTTGAAAGATAACTGCGCGTGGAAAAGGTGCAAAAGTTGACCAACTAATTCGCATTCCTGCCGACATACCCACGCCCCATCCATCATCCCATCCGAGACGCTAACTACGCCTTGCTTTGGCACCTAAAGATTGACCCGTCAGCGAAAACACAGTCGCAGCCTTCCCTTGCGCTGCGCCGCAGCACGCGCCGTGATTGACCCTTCCCATCCAATCCTGTTCTCGCACGACGACGATGTCCAATCAGCGTCACGCCACCGAAGTCGGTACACATACCTGATTTGTCCAGAGAATGCTACCAGTAGCGACCAACGTATCAGCAAGGCACTGGCCCTTTCGGCTCCTTCAACTTTATTATTCTCGACCTTAGTCGGCTAAATACGCCCTCGTATTAACTCGAAATGCGTGGTCGAAGGGTTCAGCAGGGAGCAACGCGCACCGTTTTCTTTCAGCATTGTTAAATCCGAATGAGTTCACGGTCTGCTCTAGCTGATAACATTACTACAGCGTTGAAGCATCATGGTCGTCGCGCGAACCGCAAGACGAGCCGCGCCGACGAGGTGCCGCATCGCCACGGCCCCAACTATCCCTATCCTCCTCCTCCTTCTCCTCCTAGACGATTCACAGGCGGGCAGCCACCGGATTAGCGTCCCGTCGACCGGTCACAGAACTTACAAGCAATCGAGCGCACCATTTCTTAGTAGACGAATTACACCGCTAATTACTCCGAGCCAGCCACGTAGAGACATCGGCGAAACTCTAATAGAAGGTGAATCCTCGGGGCGTCTTAATGACGGCGATTCAGTTCTGGCGCGCCGTTCGTTTATGCAGCATAATGACGGGGTAAATATTACTTCGAGTAGATTAGCTTTGAGTAGAGGTCGCGAGTTGCTGCAGTGCGCGGGGGGGAGGTTAACCACGTGTCCTGGCGGGACGGGGTGCGTGGATCGCGCGTTTCTGTGCGACGGGATCGCGGACTGCGGCGACCAGAGCGACGAGGATGCGACGCTCTGCGACGCGTTCGACTGCAGCAGCGTGGGGAAGGTGAGAGGCGTTCGGCTGGGGGGTGTAATCCGGGGCATCCTGCGCGTTGCAGCGCGGTGCAGTGCGGCGGAGAACGGGGTCGAAGAGGGCTGCCTGACATAGTTCCGGTTCCCTCTTCTCCCTCCTCCTCATCATCTCCCTCTCACTTGCAGATGGGTTGTTGCGTGGGGTTGGGGCTGGAAAACTGGGAGGGGAGGGGGTGTTACTGTGACTGGGCCACCGATTGCAGCGATGGGAGCAAGCGAGCGAGTGCACATGAGGCCGTGAGTGTCGATCCGCCGTCGCCTGTACAGGCACTGTCCTCCTGCCATTGCTCCTGCCTGCTCATGAGAGGCCCACGCTGTCGCCAGTGCTCGCCCCTGCAGGAAAGATGTCTGGGAAGCGGGGGGGATACTGTGACCGACTTGGGCAATGCCTGCCAGCAGACATAGGAGTGGGCGTGAGAGCGCGAGAGGTTGTGAGATTGATGTTGCGAGGTGACTTGGGAGTTGACTCAAAAGTCACCTGGGCATGCCTGCTGGCAAACATAGGAGTGAGTGAGCACGAGAGGCCGTGAATGTCAATCTGTCTTACGTTCCCCACGTGTCTGCTTGCGCCCACAGGGCAGTTGCCTAGGTAGGAGGGGCCCAGTGTAATAGAGACTGCAGAGACGGGAGTGAGTAAGAGTTGCTCCTATTATGAGAGCATGAGTAAGACTGCATGAGAGGTCATGAGAGTAAACCTGTCTTATTGTTCCTGCAAGGCAGATGAGTGTTACTTTTGAGAATTCTCAAAAATCTCATCCCTCATGTGTCTTTTTGTTCCTGCAGGGCAGATGCCCGGGAGGGAGGCGGGCAGTGCACGCGGCAAGGGGGCTGCTGTGACTTCAATCAGGACTGCAGCGATGGGAGTGAGATCAATAGGATTGAATCCGCCTTTAATGTCCTTGTTACTGCCCCCTTCAGGATAGGTGTCCGGGAGGTGGGCAGTGAGAGGCAAGGCGGGCAGTGAGAAGCAAGGCGGGCAGTGAGAGGCAAGGCGGGCAGTGAGAAGCAAGGCGGGCAGTGAGAGGCAAGGCGGGCAGTGAGAAGCAAGGCGGCTACTGCGACTTAAACAAGGACTGCAGCGATGGGAGTGAGAGTGAAAGCTTGTGCGTCAAATCCGGCTCTCATCCGTCTCGCATTCCCTGTGTGTCTGATTGCGCCCTCAGGATAGGTGTCCAGGTGGGGGGCAGTGCATGAGACGGGGAGGCTTTTGCGACTTCAATCAGGACTGCAGCGATGGGAGCGATGAGGGCGAGGGGCAGTGCAGCGAGCTGTACAAGCAGGGGTACTGCCAGCGACAAGGCCTGGTGAGTGCTGCACGCCATGCGTCGCACACGTGAGGAGCGGGTGTGAATTCCACGTGCAGTGCGGCATGGTGGGGAATGCGGAGGGCGAGGGGCAGTGCAGCGAGCTGTACAACCAGGGGTACTGCCAGCGGCAAGGCATGGTGAGTGTACAGCACGTCGTGCATCGCTCGTGTGCGTAGTGTGGTATGGTGCAGAATGAGCTGGGCGAGGAGTGTGGTGGATGCAACAAGGCCAGCTGCCTGCCAGTCCTTTTTTAGAATTCCCAAAGGTTTGTTTTAAGAATTATCAATTTTTTTTTATTATTATTATCATTCTCAAAGGGCTCTCATAGAGCAACCACCACTTGGTAGCTGCAACGAGGTCAGCTCCCTGCCAGCCCTCCAACTTATCCTTCTTCCTCCCCTGTTTCCTCCCTCCCTATCGCCCTTCCCTTCAAACATAGAGCGCCCTCTCGACACACTGACTTGTGTGATCGGGAGGAGAGGAGCAGCTGCCTGCAGTTTCACCATCTTGTTCCTCTTGATTCCCCCTTCCTCCCTCCTTTGTCGTCCCATATAGAGTGCCCTCTTGATCCCACATACTGCGTATCCGAAACCGATCTGTGTGACGGGGAGGGGAGGAGCACTGCATGGGAGGCTGGCACGAGGCAAACTGCTTGCCCCAACCGGGCCCCTTACTCACTCCTTTCCTCCCCCTGGTCATATTCTGGTCTCCACGTGCCATTCCCTTTCTCCCAGATAGAGTGTCCCCTCGACCCCACCTACTGCATATCCGAGACGAACCTGTGTGATGGTGAGGAGCACTGTCTAGGAGGCTGGGACGAGGCAAACTGCCTGCCCCACCCGTGCCCCTCCGGCTGGCTCAAATGCCCCAAGACCAGTTACTGCACGCCTGCTGGTAACCTGTGTGACGGTGTTACAGACTGCTTCGCCACTCCCGAGCCTGAGGACGAGGACCCGGACCTCTGCCGAGCCTATGCGTGTCCAGAGGGTTGGAGGAAGTGTGCGGATGGGGAGCAGTGCGTGCAGCAGGGGCGGTGGTGCGACGGGCTGCTGGACTGTGCTGGTGAGATCCATGGGTTAGTGGGTTGCCGGGTTACTGGTTGCCTGGGGTGGAGAAAGTGTGCGGCTGGGGAGCAGTGCGTGCAGCAGGGGCGGTGGTGCGACGGAGTGGTGGACTGTGCTGGTGAGCGTTGTGGCGGCTAGAGCGTTGCTGGGTCAGCGGCTTCTCATGTCGCTCGCTGGGATGCTGCTTGCGTCGCTGGGATGTTTCTGGCCTGCTGGCCTGCTGGTTTGATGTGGGTTACTGTGGGCTGCCGTAGGTTACTGGTACTGGATTTCCGGGGGAAGGCTGGCATGCAATGCCGGCATGATGGTGGTGGTGTAACCGTGTAACGGGTGTATTGCCTCTGGTGGTGAGTGCCCTGGGTCAGTGGCTTGCTGGAATGGTGGGTTGTGGGTTTCATGGGAGAGGAAATCGCGTGTCAGTGCGAATACTATGTGAGAGTGAGGTGCATGTGAGAGCAAAGAGGCGTGAGAATGGGTTGCTCTTTGCTCTCACGCCTCTTTGCATGACTAGGCCAACGGGGTCCTCTTTCCCTCCCTTCTTCCCTTCCACTCCACCCAACTTTCTCATCTTCATCTTTCTGCCACCCCCTACCTCCCTCTCCCCTCTCCCCCCGCACAGATGGGAGTGATGAAGGGGCTGCGTGTTTGGTTCGGGATACCAAAACAGCCCCCAAGGCAAACAAAGGCACTGGGTCATCAAGGAGAAGCAGCAACGTCAGTGACAGCAGCAGTGGTAGTGGATCTTCAATAGTAACACTTGCTTCAACAAGTTTCATGGAGCCCAATACAGAAAATCTGTCTGCAAAGACTCAGCTAGTCGCAGAGGCAAAAGCAGAGCGGGCTTTGAAGAGGGCTGCCAAGGAAGCAAGGAGGAGGAAGAAGGAAGAGGTAGCAGCAGCTAAGGCAGCCAAGAGGCTTCGCAAAGCCAGAAAAGAAGCTGCAATCAAAGAAAAGGAGGAGAGACAG